AATTAATATCAAATGTTATACTATACTTACATTAACTTGTGCAAATGTGTATTTCTGCTCAGTCAGAAGAGGAAGTTAGTATTGATTTAGTTTATGGAGACATTGGAAGTGCATGACTGGACTCCTTCCCAGTCACTTAACTACTTAATAAAGCCACCCTCAAACTCATCTCAAACTCATAGGGGCAGTACTGTACAGCAAATTTTAGCAAAACAACCAGGCAACAAAACTAATGCTAAATCTACCTTTTGGATGGTTTTGTAAATGAATCTGTATTTCATGTTTATAATGATGTAAAAGATAAACATGAGCTGATATTATATATGCTAATTAACTATTAATGTATCACAATTTTATTCCCCGTATTGAACCATCACGATTTTCAATTCAGTTTTATTTTGTCTTATTGGCTTCCAATTTATTCAACTTCATTGCCATTTTACAAAAAAAAAAAAAAAAAAAAATCTTCCTATAAAGTCTGAACTCTGCTCCAAACCACACACTTTTACTGACAGAGGATTGGCTGCAGGCCTCTATCAAAAAAGACCAAACCTATCATTGACAATTAGAAATAACATAATATTGATTTAAAATGGGATTCATTAAACAGCCCTTATAATCAACACAAATAAATTATACTTTTTTTACTTCATCTCCAGGTGGACCTCACAAGGACCTACACATTCCGTAACTCCAAACAGACATACACTGGAATCCCCATCATCGCTGCCAATATGGACACCACCGGGACCTTTGAGATGGCACAGGTTCTCAGCAAAGTGAGTCCAAAATAACTTACCAATAACAGGATGGACTATTTTTGTTTACTGATTAAGGAGGCCATCAGTTATAATGTATTGCTGTTATCTCTGATCTTCCTGTCTGTCTCTCCTGTTTCCAGCACACACTCTTCACAGCTATTCATAAACACTACTCGGTAGAAGACTGGAAAAACTTTGCTGAAAAAAATCCTGAATGTATTGAGGTAAATGTTTTGTGATTAAAGGGCCCTTATTGTCTCATCTATGTTATAATATTGTTTCCTCATCACAAACATACCTGGAGATTTGTTTAGTTTCAATCATGTTTAACACACAAATCCTTCATATTTAGGTTGAGTTCTTCTTTCAAATAGCAAACTGTTCCACATTGTGATGCCATTAAACTCCATACACCTTCACTAGAATCATTTGGATACTTTCAACCCTGGAATTGCCAATCTCTACTGAACAAAAGGTAAAAAGTCACCGTTAACTTGAAAACTACTACTACATGACATCACAAGTTGGAACAGAGCATATTGAGCTTTGGAGATATAGACAGGCTAATAACAAAGGATTACTCAAACATTTGAATGGAAAAAACACAACTTCAGGTACGTTTTTGAACATTTTAACACAACTTAAAGGTCAATTTTGCTTATACTAGATCAAAATTGTCTCATACTATTTTACTAAATTATTTTTAACCATACATTAATTTTCCTTAGCATGTGGCAGCCAGCTCTGGGAGTGGAAAAGCAGACTTAGAAAAGCTCTGTGCCATTCTAGAAGCTATTCCTGCCCTCAAATACATCTGTCTGGACGTGGCCAATGGCTACTCTGAGTACTTTGTAGAGTTTGTGAGAACCGTCAGAGAGAAGTTCCCTAAACACACCATCATGGTAAGAGACAATGGTACATTCTTGTTCTTGTGCACTATACTTTATATGAGGTATGATTGTTTTAGTGTGTTTTCAGGCTGGTAACGTGGTGACAGGAGAAATGGTGGAGGAGCTGATCCTAACTGGGGCGGACATAATCAAAGTAGGAATTGGACCAGGTATGTATTCATGAAAGTAGAACTGAAGTTACATATCATTAAACTATGGCAACTAGGTCATTTTTCTGGAGAAGGGTCCACCACCAGCTTGGCTCCATAGATTTTAATGCTTTGCATGTAATGTTCCACAAGCCATCAGGACAAGTTACAGGTCAGATCTGTGGAGAAGTGACCTTGCTCATCGGTACTATAATGGATACGGTATTGTGGAACATGCCAGGCAAACCAATAACATCTCCATCTGGGGACAAGTTGAGCTGGGTATTATTAAGAAGTTGCCGATAGGGTACATAGGCCACGATATGATACATACCGTGATACAGTGCACTTTTGGTTCAATACGACACATTTCAAATTGATTTCAATCGCATACAGTTCAATAAAAAATAATGGCTAAATCATGGCTGTAATACTAAAAGTCTTTGTTAAATCATTTCTTTTGCAAAGTTAAAATGAAACACAAACATTTTAATCATCAAAACAATGAAAATGTCAAATGTGTTGCATAAACAAGTTTCTTACCTCCATACAAGCAACAAGACTCAGCCCACGATATCGATAAGTGTATCGATATTTTGATATTTTTGCATACCCCTAGGGACAAGCATGTGGTGGAACCATCAATAGAAAAATTACATAGTGCCTCTTTAATTGTGTAAACATGTGTTTGATGCAGGTTCAGTGTGCACAACAAGGATAAAGACAGGAGTGGGCTACCCTCAGCTCAGTGCAGTCATCGAGTGTGCAGATTCAGCTCATGGTCTCAAAGGACACATCATATCTGTAAGATGCTGCTGCTACTCTGAATTCACGGCATTATCTGCTGTGCTCTCTGTGTGTCCACCAGAGGGAGCTATTGTTTATTTCAGGCTTATACTCAATACTAAAATGTAACAACTGCATTTTCTTTTCTCTGTTAAGGATGGAGGTTGCAGTTGTCCTGGAGATGTAGCTAAAGCATTTGGTGAGTAATATTTTGCTATAAAGATATGTTTGTTTTTTGTCAAAAACAGAACTGATGTTTATTCATAGAGACTTGCCATAGCAATTATCCATTCAAATCAGTATATATATATATTTAAAGTCAAACTCAAAATGGCATCTACAAACAGGAAACTGAAACCTCATATTAATGATTGCGTGCTGTGGTCATGTGTATTTCAGGGGCAGGAGCAGACTTTGTGATGATGGGGGGAATGTTGGCAGGACATGACCAGTGCTCCGGGGAGGTCATTGAAAAGGACGGCAAGAAATTCAAAATGTTCTACGGCATGAGCTCGGACACAGCCATGAAGAAATATGTTGGGGGAGTTGCTGAATACAGGTAAGCAAAAGAAACAATAACTAACAGTGATCAGCACACAGTGACCTACCTGTTTGTGCATGAATTACATCAGCTTTCCAATGTTTGTGATAATTTTAGCATGATTGGTGAACAGCAGAGGAGAGATATAGTTTATTTGTCTGACCAGTCAGTCCCTCGTACTTTCTGTTTGAATGTCTTTGTTAAGTATTGCTATTAAAATGTGTCTAGAACTTAACTTCACCTGCTTGTCTTCATGAAGATAAATAGAATAATGCCATAGTGTGGGACACTCTAGACCAGGAGTGTCCAAACTTCATCAATGGCCAAACACATTGAATAATTGAAATATGTGGATTTTTAACATGTTAGAATGAGCCATGAGACCTTTATTAAAGCTTAGATGCTCAAAAGCACACACTAAATATTTAAAATGGGCTTTATCAAGATAGATTTTCCAATAAACGTGCAAAAAAAGTACTGCTGAAGGTAATTTGGTACAGTTTACCTGGAAGCCTGAGAACCGAAAAAAAATGGTATAAAGGCCGCATTTGGTCCCCGGACCATAGTTTGGACATGCCTGCTCAAGACAAAGCAATAACATTAAAGCAAACAAGTAGCCCTGCCCTCTCTTAGAAAAGTTAAATAGTGCACCTTTTAAGTAAAACCATTGTCCTATTTTGGTTTATTTTAACCAGTGATTAGATTTTTTTTTTTACATTACATGCTTTCACAATTAGTCAGTGTGACCCACTCCTGCTACAATGTGCAGTAAATATTGGAAACATTATCTCTCACCATTGCTTGTCTCTTCTGTTTCTCCTGCAGAGCATCAGAGGGCAGAACAGTGCAGGTCCCGTATAAGGGCGATGTAGAGGACACCATACGGGACGTGTTGGGAGGCCTGCGCTCCACCTGCACATATGTGGGAGCAGCCAAACTTAAGGAGCTCAGCCGAAGGACCACTTTCATCCGTGTCACGCAACAGTCCAGCCAAATGTTCACCTAGTGGACCCAGCATGCCTTATACACCAACATATTATGCATTGTAATGATATCAAAGTCTGAATGTGGAGTTAAAATAATGGTATTTTAGGGCCACATGGTCAATCTCAGGAAATTCACTCTCAGAAGTTGCCTGGTCTGCTTGTCTGTAGTCCCACTTTAAAATTTTATTTAAAGTTTAACAAATGTTAATGGTCTAAAAGGATAGAATGTTTGTGTCTTAAAATAAGCCATTACAGTGAACATAATCATTGACAAAGAAAATACCTGAACTGTATAGAGGTAAAGTGACAGTGCTGCTATCTGTTCAATTGCTGGAAATATGGAACTGAATATGCAAGAACCAGTGGACTTCACTGGAAAAAATGTTGCAATAAATGCATGCAGGACCTGCTGCTAATGTCACCTGTGCTGTTGGGTCTTCTGTGATTAATTTAACTGTATGTTGACTACTTTTTGTTTATATTTTAGAAAATGATTGTCATAAGGTAAAATTGGGACGAATATAATCTCACAGGCAATTCACCTTTGAAACAAATATCCAAACATAAACTTTGGAAATGTGGAGACTTTAGTTGATAGGTTGGGTTCAGAAACATACTAAATGATATTTCATGGCTCATTCAGTTCAGTTCATTCAGTTCATGTGTGCTGACAGCAGACTTTTTGACAGTTTTTGTTATCATGTAATATGCTCAGCAATTACAGATTTTAAACATAGGGCACATTCAAAAGGCGTCACTCCTAAATACTGTAATCTTGTCTTAAGTGTAGGGCGTACAATTTATGAATGATGGCTGCAATTGTCCAAATAGTTAACAATTCTGTCTTGTAATTTAGATGTCTTTTTGATCAAAAGAAAACACGCTCATTTACTCCAGATATGTCAAGGTTTCATTTCGTTTTCAAAGAGGTGCATTTGTACAGATGTCAAATACATACACCAACAGGGATTCTCCAATGCTCTAAAGCAAAGGGGTGGTGAGACACAGGGACTTGGTGAGTACAATATAGTACAAACACATTGGCTAGGAGCTGCTGTGAGCGCCCCCTGCTGGCCACACTGTCTCTGCTCCCGTGTCGCTCAGTCCAGTCCAGTGTCGCGGGTGAGCAGAGGAACAAGTCCGCAGCGCAGCCTTTGGAGCTGAGTGTTCACAACAAGGAACCCATCCACGTGAGCGCATCCGAAAACATAAGCCCCGCCCATTCTGTGGCAGTGGGCAGGGTCAAAGGTCACAATGGCTGTCCTCCGTTGAAGTGTTTTTCGCCTTGCAGAATAGCAGGCCCAAAGTTAAAAGTTCAATGGAGAGCGATCCAAGCCATCTCCAGCATAATACAGAGAGTATCATAATAATAATTTATAGTTATTGTCAATAATGTCATTAGTTAATCATATCAAATTATATGTAAGAAATTTACATATCTTATAACCCATATCAAACAGCCCACCATGTAAATTGATTGGGGTGACACTAAACAGTTAAGTGAGCCTCTACAAGTTCTTCTTTCTGCCTGAGTTGGTTATCCAGCGCTATGGACATTTAACAAGAAAAACAAAGAAAGAAAAAAAAAATAAAATAAAAGGAATCCTGATCAAATTCTGTTCACTTTTAAAACAACAAAGTGCCAAAAGAACACATCCTTTTTGCAAAAAAGTAAAGTACAAACATCAAGAGCACACATGCTTTTTTCGGATCAAAAAGTCACAAGCTCACACGCCACATTCATTTATTTGTCAAGTTTGTGCAAGAAGCCAATTTTATACAAGAACATTAGCAGTGTTTCCTACAGTGAGGAAGCTTGTCTATAACTCAACAATGACACATTCGACATAGTTTTCAGTCCCCTGACATTATAATGAGTGCTACAAGGAGACTAAAAACCAGATAGAAAGCTTCTGCACCAGAAAGTAATGCAAACATAGAAGGAGGTTTGCGTGTGCACCGATATTATAATGCAAAGCCAAACTGTGCCAATTCACTCCAAATTTCAAATGTGAACCAGATATATAGCGGCACAGCCTGATCTCCTGCTATAAGTGGAGTAAATATCCCACAAACCTGACTAAAGAATAGGGATGCATTCCATGAGAAATTCCTAAAAAAGAACCAAGGAACCACCCAACAACACCTTGGCCCGTTGGACCCAAGAACGCGCCAAGTGAGATGGAGCTCAGACAGAGAAACACACGGTTACAGGGCAGGTGATGTGCAAAACATTACATCTCAAACATCCCTCTCCATAATCACCCCCTTTTTCATTCTCTGTCTGTTTTTGAATGAATGTTACCCCTAGGCAGGGTATCAGTCAGAGACACCAAAGCCCGCCCTAGGATTTTTAGAAAGTGCTGAAATTATCAAGTCTTTTACAACTACTTACATGTGCATCTCTGTTGGTTTATTGATATATATTTTTTGTATTTTTACATATTTTTTTTTACTTTTTTATAAAAAGTGGTCCCCACAAGCAATGAGGTTATTTTTTTCTGTGTGCAATACCTCCAACCTTTTGAGGGTCAAGGTTTTGAGCGCACAGATGATTATAGAAGAAAACACGCACTATGAATCACAACCATACACATTTAGGTTGCTGCATACACACACAGAGACACAGGTGAGGGGGCTGGGAGGGGAAAGGGGAAAGAGAGGGTAGACAGACATCACATGACGACTCCGGACAAGCCATTTCAGGGATTAGACACTGGAGTCTGCTACATACACTTGGCACGGCAAGAGGAGGGGGACAAAAATGATAATATTGCACATTGTCTCGAACATTTTGGGTAAAGAGGGGTAGGGACATACCTAAAAATAAAATAACTTAAAAATCTAAAAGGTGTATTCCCATAGACAGTTAAAATAGAGGACACAGAGGCTACAATACTTTTGAGTGAGTGGCTAGTTCTGAATAAAAGTAAACTGTGCAAATTTGTGGCTGGGGATTCTTCACCTGCTTGTTTCCATGGATATGTCATTGCTCTGCCTGGAATATTCCGCAGTATGACATTAAACAGCTCTACCTTACAACCAAAAAACAACATTCCTGCTTCACCAGAGTTCTGTCCTGGAACTTGGTCTGTTTGATGATAGAAAAGTTTAATAAAATACGGTACATGGTACATTCCAGACAAAGCAAGAACATCCCCATGGAGAAAAGCATGTGACGGACTCTCCAACACAAAAGTTACACCTTGCATAATTTACAAAGTGGACATGTATTTTTTCAGATACTACTGTGGCTATTGGCTTTACTTTTCTTTTGATACTTACTTTGTTTTGATGCACTTTAAGACATTTTTGGAGGAGGTGTCCAATTGGAGTCTGGCTAAAACAATGCTGTAGGCCGACTATTTCAACTGTCTATGCTCCTTCTCTTCCTCCAGCTGATTGCTTGTATAGTCTCTTATTGAGGATGTAGGTGAGTAGTGGGGGTGGACAGATAGTCAGGTAGCTAACGGTTGTCTTTTGAGGGTTTCATTGATTGCTTGGCCTTTAGCAGAAGGTGCTTTCTCGAGGCTGGCTATTCGCGCGGGTACCTGAAGAAAAAAACTTAATGATTGACGAGGTTACTACGCAGAGGCACACTTTAGCGACACACGAGGTTCAGCGGGTTGTGTGATTGTAGTTACTGCATATATATGACTCCCTGAAATACTACTTCTAGTACTATCACTACTACAATTACTACTACGTCTACTACTGCAATTCCTGAATGATTTATGATGCAAGCTCATACATGATTTTTCTGTGGGGAGATTTTGGTTAGCTCACAAAAGGAGATTATTGTTCAATGTTTATTGCAGATAACTCGAGTGGAATGTGCCTGAATCATACGAAAATATTGCTTTGGCTAGTTCTTAAACTATTTTGAATTTGATGATAAAATGGTTGGAAAGTTTTGTTTCTAAATGGAGTTTTGTTAGTGAGGTGGGGAGACACAAAGGTTGACAACCAAGTGGACACTAATTTACTGCTCAACGGGACAAGAAAAAAAGATACAAAAATGCGGTGACACAAAACCCTGTTGCATTACAAAAATAAAGCAAAATTTATGAAACTCTAAACAGACTCACTCATCTGTCTATAACACCTATTGGGTGCAAAACGTCCCATATCTAAAAGCAAACCTCCAACATAAAAAACTCAACCACTCACTGCTCTGTTTTTGTTATCTCCAGCTTCATGCAGCAACCTGTTGTAAACCATATACCATACCAGATGCACTTGGCACTGAACAACATACTGTCACTCACTATAATATCACTGACCATTGCTATCAAAACTATTTCAGTATCAATCAATGAGCCTTTATTTATATTGATTTCTTGTACACTTCATGGTTTTTTTACTCTTCTTTTTACGAGATCGGGGAGCAATTGTGTTTTCAAATATATGGCTTTTCAGTTGCATTGCTTTGTGAAGAAAACATGATATTCTGATTCTAATATTCTTTGTAATTACTGTTGCTAACTAAGGTCATTGAGAAGCCATTCATTCACCACTGTTATAAAGAGTTACCACTATTTCCTATGACTTACATTTGAAGGCAGTATTAGACAAAACTTTTCCAACTCCAACTGCATTCTGGGGGAAAAACACCTTAGGTTACATCATCTCCTGCTCTCCAAAGAGGCTCTAAATAAAAGCTTACCTTTCATTCAAGATAAACCTCCGACCTAGTCTTGTGCAAAACCAAACCTACTAGCACATCTGATGAGGTAACTGCTACATCTGAGCAAATCAGGGTTTAGTTGGCCAATAGCACAAATGGCTCCTGTCCCAAATTGGGCCCTACCGTAAAACATACCATTTTTCTTAATCATTCCCCTTACAAATTACACACACAAAATCTGCTTTCTTTGTCCAACGTGTCAGTGGTCTAGGCCTCCATTCAGGACAGGGTCATTTAAAAAAAATAAAAGTTACTACTAAACTCCATCCTCCCGACAATGTGCAAATTGCATGATTCTCTTAAGTAAAAGATTTTACATAGAAACACTGGACATTTAGAATCAAATGTTTATATTCTTTTCAAAGTACATACTCCCAGCCACACAGACAGCGCACTACAGAGAGGACGACGTCTTTTTAGCACTTCCTGTTACCGTCCTCTGTTAGCATTGTCAGTCCGCTAGTGTCTTTGATGTTATTGTTGGATGGTGTATCTATGGTTACGTTGTGTATGGACAGACACCAACAGGCACAACTACATCATGCCGCCCTTCAGCTCTAATGGGCTAAAACATATTATTTTCAGGGCAGCAGTATAGTATTATACACTCATATCAGTTACCAAACTCTTAGATCACATTCCAATATGAGTTTCCTCTATTCAAACATTCTTAAAGCCATCATCACTTTGTCAATAACAGTCGCCTGAATGGGATTTTAATCTTTTCGAATCCCTTTCTTTGTGATCCCTTGGCACTTCTGCTCACACATTTCCCACATTCACCAAAAATGAGCCTTCAATTTTTTTCCAAAGACTTTCCAAAGTGCTGTTGCTACTTTCCACCCTTGACGCACAATAAAAGAAAAAAAATCTAAAAACATACAGTACTGTGTGAATAAAGACATCAATAAGGTGTGGACTGCGCGGTGACCGTGATAGGCAAGTAGTTTCTGTCTTGATATCCCTTGCAGCCATGCTGATTAAAAAAATACATTGTAGTAACGTTGGTTATGATGACAGCGGTGTGTGTCATCTCAGTGTGTTGTGAGTATTCAGTTAGGTAACTCCTAGGTTCAATCTAGAACTATAAAGACCCCTGAATTTATAGTACTGACAATCATTTTAAGAACTATGGTAAGGATAGAGTGAAAAATTAAATTTGTATTCCCAGTCTTTTGTGTGGCACACTGGTGCATACTGATGGTTGTACAGACATACGCATGTTTTACCATGATGCCCACATAAACATAGAGAGTAGTGTCAGGAAGGGCATCTGCCAATTCAATATGCAAATCATTGAATTGCATTGAAAAATTCAACTGGAAAAGATGTGTTGCCAATTGGAGTGATATAACATAAAATAGTTAAATTATCTTATGTTATACGTAGTTTTGAGAGTTACCCCAGTGCACCATACGCCACCAATGAACCAATACTTAAAAGAATTCCACCCACTGCTTTTTATACAGAAATTTTCTAAACAAATTGTCTTACTGCTCACTGGATGTCATTTTAGTACAGTATTCAAGACAGAAAATATAAAAAACCTAAACATGAAGTGGACATTTTTTCCTGTAAAAGTCTCCTTGCTGCGCTCCTCACTTGCCGATGTTGGACCTTCCTTCGATGCTGACTTTGACTTGGTGAGGAATGAAGTTGGGTTTGGGCAGAGTAACAGGGGGTTCCTCCTCTGATCGCTCCACTGTGCGACCCTCTGGAGCAGACCACCTCCTCTTCCTGCTACTGGACTGCCTCCTAGAACCCTCCTCGCCTTGGCCTTGTCTCTCCCCAAATGGGATCTCTCCGTTTTCCACATTCCCACTGCTTCCTCTCTGATTAAGTCCGTTCTCCTTCTGGCCTGAGCGGTGGTTTGGGGGTTTGAGAGGCAGGGTGGCGAGCTCCAAAGGTTTCTTTAAAGAGCCGTTCCTCACGTTTTTTAAGGTGAGAGAGATACAGACGTCGCCCACAGATAGTTTAGTGCAAGGCAATTCCAGGAGCTGAGTTGTCCGATCGGGGCAACATGAAGACCAGCCCTGGCCAAAGACAAAGAAGGGGTACTCGGCCAGGACTTCCACATTCACCTAAGAGACAGGAGAAAACTGAGTAATATTTCACAAGGATTTACTGATTAAAGGTGCACTATGTAACTTTTCTGGTGGAAGGTTTGTCACCTGATTGTCTCCATGGAAATTTTATTCTTATGCCTTGATTATTCTACAGTATGGAAATCACAATGGAGACTGGTTAATGGTCAGGTCTATGAAGAAGCAAGCCAGCACATGAAGAATTAATTTTCTCAGGTATTTTTGAGCTATAAAACACCTGTAATTGAACAAATTCAAGGGAGATATTGATACTGTGGAACATTCCTGGCAAAGAAATCTCCACTTTAGAAGTTACACAGTGCACCTTTAAGTCAACCATAAATGGACATAGCTAATGCACTTGCTGCCACGTTCTAAATAGGAAGTTCGCATGCGGCTCTTCCGGCTCCTTTTGACCATGGCTCCCATTGACTTACACTGGAATAGTGTGGCCCCTTTCTCTGTAACTGCTGCTGTGAGCTTCATCATTTTGGCCATAAAATGTTTGTATTAATCTGCTCTACAGGATCCTGGTGGGTCTTTTTTTGCTATTTTGTCCGTCATAACCTGGCTCTATATTTACGGTGCTGAATGCTGTAGGTGTCATATTCGCTTAGTCCACTTTTTTATACAGTCTATACTGAAAACAAATTAATGGCTATTTATTGGAAATGCAATGGAAGTAATATAATAAAATTACTCAAATGCATTACGAAAACTGTTGTCTTAAAACCTTTAAACTTTTCACACAACTTCTCACAACTTTTCTATCAACAGTGATAAATCCAAAATACTTACCTTTAATACAATTTAAAGATGCACTATGTAACTTTTCTAACTGAGTGTTGTCATCTGCTTGCCTCCATGGAGATGTTACTGGTTTGTTGTGAATGTTTCACAGTATGGCATTATACTCATCTATATTCATGGAGACAAGCAGGTTTAAGGTATATATGAGCAGTAAATCAAAAAATTTAAATAAAGGCAAAAGTTTAATGCCATACTGTGGAACATTACAGGCAAAGCAGCATCTCCACTGAGACAAGTAAATGGTGGACACCCTAACAGAGAAATTACACTGTGCACCTTTAACATTACTTTGTCAATTATATTATAAGGATTTTTTTCTCCATTACGTTATAGTTGTTGAAAGCGCTGGATCTTAACATGAGAGCATAACAACGTATGTAGCAAAAGACTGTACCATGAAGTGTGTAGTGTGTGAGAACACTGCCAAGAACAATTCAAATCAATACTGAACAGTCTTTGAAAGCAAGTGCCAAGCAATATTTTCCCTCCTGTATTATGTAATCTTCCATTTCATTTCTCTCCTCTTTTCTCCTCTGAGGCTGACTCAAAGTTACAAGCTCTTCTCAGAAAGAGTAAGTGTAGGGCCACTGGGGGAGTACAAAAGAGAAGCTGAAGTCTTTGAACAGTGGTCAGCTTTTGTGGGATACACCATCAAAGAGGGGCTGGAGGCGGAGAGGCGCTGGAGATGTGTGGAGTGGGCGGACAAGATACAGCTAAGTCATATGAGATGCATTATCAGAACTTTACATGAGACCTCAAAGATACTGCTCACAATCTGGGCATGTCAATGTGTGTGAGTGTGGGTATTTATGATTCTTTAGTTTGTTTATTTAGATAATGTTAGGTCTGTTATAAATCAATCTTCATAAGAAAACTTGTATATAGTTACTCCAAAAGTCAATGCCTTCAGTAAATGTGATTCTGAAAATATAAATTTGAACTCAATATACTTTGAGAGTGCAAGGTAAAGAAAAAGCAGTGAACCAATGAAGTATAAAGTGCAGTTAGAGGAGCGTCACATTTCATAAGTTTATTAATGTACTTTTAAAAGTATAGTTCTCACCTGCGCTCGATGCTCGCCCACTGCGAACTGCACCACAGCGAGGTTAGGGGAGGTGCGACTGCCCTCGATGCGCTCCACGGTGGAGGAGTCAATCTTGAGTTCGCTACTGATCTCTGCGCTCTGGATGAAGTCCTCCGTCTTCAGGTCCTCAACGCGCTTCAGCTCGCCATCCGCCAGCTGGATGATGGAGCCCTTGATGAAATACGGAGGCAGCGCGTGGGGCAGAGAGGTGTTAGAGGCAGAGGCAGGAGGTCCAGAAGAAGAGACCAGTCCTTGAGAAGCAGGGATGATGGGGAGATGAAGCTGTCCCTGGACCACAGTCCCAGCGGAGGCCTGGTACACGCCCGCGGGTGAGCCCAGAGGGTCTGTTTTGGTGGGGAAGGGTGCAGCCTGGGTGGACGAGGCAACCCGGGACGCATCCAGAGAAGTGACTGCCCCGCTCACAGGGATGATGACGGGCTGGGCACCAGGAATGAGCAAGTGTTGAGGGAGGCAGTGCTGAGCCCCCGCAATGTACCCGATTATGGGCTGCTGGGGGAAGGGCAGGCCCAGGGACAGTGGTTCTGTAGAGCTGTGTGTGGTCTGGATCACAGTCTGGGGGGGTTTTGGACTATCCACACTGGGAGGGGGAGGGGCTGGAAACGTAAACGTGGACGTGCTGCCGGACGATGAAGGGGTCCTGACTGGTTTGCCTGAAACAATGCTACCTCTCTCCACATGTGAAGATGAATGCTTATCAGGACTAGATCTGGGCAAATGGTGGTCACTGTGGCTGTTGGGCATAAGCATGCTAGATATTCTGAGCCCAGAAGGATCATGGGTAGTGTAGTCTGATGACAAAACACGTGAACGAGCTTCATATGAGTCCCGCAACTTGTTCCCAGACTTTGACTCAAACCGTCGCCCACGTTCCACCTCTCCATTATGAAGCTCTCGAGTTCTAGATCCCCCTTCATCTTTTCGTGGGGGCCCATCTGCATACTGCAGCAAAACTTGAGACATGCCATGCCCCAGTGCATGCTGGGAGTGCAGTGAATGGGGTGCATGGTGGTGTGCAGAAGGAGCTGTTCGGTGATGTAAGTGGTGCGGTGCAACAGAGTCTGTAGAGGGTGGGGGCATGGAGGTGCGGCTGGAGGAGCGCTCTGGTTTGGTGTGAATCGTCTCTGTGTGGGTGTGAGGGGGTCTCTCTGTGTGTGGGGGTCTCTGGGGTGGAGGCGGAGGAGGGGGGAATATCTGCGAGGGGATATAGCCTGGGTACGATGTGGGGTATGGGGAGGCGATGAACTGTAGGTTTGGAGGCAGCTGTGTGTAGTGGACTGTCCCTCCAGCGGTGCTTTGGGGAGATGTGTACAGTGTGGGGAGTGATGAAACTGGCCTGACTGAAGAAGAAGAGGGGAAAGTGTCTGTAGTGGAGGAGAGGGGCTTGTATTCCGACTGAGAGGTGCTACGGTTCGCCCCTTCGCTGTTACCACCCATCAGCCACGGCAGGTTCTCTGAGCGGGGAACATCACTAGGGGGCGCCATAACGGGGGATGAGTGCCGGTCTGATGGTATTGTGCTAGAAGGAATCTCCCTCTTCTTTGGGGGCAAACATTCTTTACTTCGTTCCTGGTTGGACTTCATATTGATGTCAGCTCCACACAAAATCCTGGTTCAGTTCCTTTCAATAGTCTTGCCTTAATTAATTATTCTACCTTGTGTCTGTATTAAATCTGTTACACCAAAGAAAGCACACAGAGTCAGACTTAGATGAAGGGCGGTTGGTGAGAGGGAGAGGCTGGTCTGGGTTGGTTGTTGGTTGTTGGTTGCTGGGTGTTCCTTAGCGATTGTTGGGTGTGGTCTGAGTGTTGTGGAGGGAGAGCATCACGACGTCACACCTGCTGCTGTCGCCCTTAGCGACGGGCCAAGTGCGCCGCTCTTCATGAGGAATCATTTCCCTTCAACAGGAAGTCTGCCCACACACGGAGAAATCCTACAACACACAAACATGCCGGATGTTAGGGAAATCTAGAATGTAGATGTATCCAACAATTTAAACACCCAAAACAGATTAAAGTAAACCAATTAACAAAGAAAAATTATGTTGAAACAAGTTGAGGAAAGGCTCCGGTCTATATAACAACAAAGATAAGGTTTGTGTTACAGATATCTAGCTTACAACATTCTCAACATATGGCTCTTTGCAATGGCATTCAGAAGTAACGCACTCCCCTTTCCCAAGGTATGTACTACAACATTTACACTGGTGAACCATCTGTTCAAGAGAATCCCTGCTGCAGAATATGGAGCGTTTGGAGAGAATCCCATAAATAATGTACAAGCACCAGCTCTGCCCCAACGCACTCCTCTGTGGTTACTCTCATAGACTTTCATTTATGCTGACAGATTCTCTTTTCCCCAAGTTTACACTCAAATACATCAAGTGGAACATCTATTTTTGAAGTTAAAGACTCCTTTGAAAGTGGGTCAAGTATTAGTTACTTCCTCACAGACTATAAATGTACAGCAGAAGAGCAGAGTTAGCACAACCCTTAAAGGCAAAAGAATTCTCTGTTATGGTGAGAAATTAGAAGAAAGTTTTTACGGTTGCTGTCCGAGCCCATACTACGAAAGTCTCTGGTTTAAATATGTGGCTTGTATGCAAATGTACGTAGATGCAAATTTGTCTTCGAATGTAAGTGCATGTTTGTGTTATATGATATATGCAAACACCTTACAAGCATGCAGTTTATTCTCACAAAGACGAGGCAGTATAGATGCAAACATTTAGTGTCACAGTCAGCAATGTTACTTACATAATTTCATTTTGTAACTATGACCAAAAGAGACTGTGGTCTACCTGTGAAAACAAGACAAAGCTGGCTTGATTTAAAAATATGGATTTGACTTAAACTACCAGTCAAAAGTTTGGACTCACCATCTCATTCAGCGTTTTGTTTCTTTGTTCTTACAACTTGTTCTTACTACTATGTTTTAGATACATATATATTGAAATATATATATAATCAAATACATGAAGCAAAATACATGACATGGGTAATTTGAGGATTTGAATATTTCTATATACAAAAAACAACATCTTATTTCATATATTTGATGTCTTCTGTATGTATATCAAAAGTAGTACACATACAGAATGAGACAGTTCAAACTTTTGACTGGTAGTGTAGTGGTCTCTGTAATTCAGAGGGTTTTCGAGCGTACTTTGTGGTAGTACCATGATGGATATTTGAACACAAATACATCATTCAAATACATGGCAAATACAAGGAAATACAACCCAAATGCAGAGGAAGACACGGCTGTCTACAAGCTGATAATAGAAGTGATAATAAACTGTAGGAGCTCTCAGATCCCCGACATGTCACAGAGCTGTCATATCAGAGCCTCTCCTAAAACCACTGAGGGCTCCTGCTGCCAGTGCTCACAGCTTTTATCTACAGGCACAGCCCTGACACCTCACTTTGTTATATGGAGAAATATTGTACTTATGAGGTGTAAGAGGATACAGTCAGGGGAATAATACCTTTTATAAAACTCTGACTGACAAATTATTTATGTATAATCTATGTCCTTTTATAGTCTTATTTTAGTACGGAATCAGGAACCTTAGCAACTGTAGTGCATCCTAGTTTGGCATCGCCCTCTAATTTCTGTTTAAACACAGGAAGGTCTGGAATCAGGCACACAGTGACTCTTACGAACATAAAATGCTAATCCAATCACAGCTGTGCGATGGAATATAAGTGTCACATTAAAAAAACTAAATATCCGGGTGTTACGAGAATTAAATGTCATAATTTTACGAGAGTCCATAGTCCAAAGAAATATTACAAGAATAAAGTCGTAGTCTTTATTCTTTATTCTCTTCTCTCCTACTTTATTCTCTTTAAATTAAAACTTTAATGTTAAAATTTTATGATTTTTATTCTCGTAGCTCCTGCATAATTTATTTTTTCAATGTGACACTTATCCTGTCATACGTTGGTATATGTAGCGTATATCTCTAAAATGTGGAAGACATTTCTCAAATGTTCTTGTATCATTCAGGAATATATATAAGTTTAGGAATAGTGTGTAGTCTTGCTTGGTCAGGCTACACTGCTCAGTTCTTGATAGTTTTATGTGGAGGGCTAAAGGGAGGCAGACAATAGGGCAATCCAGTGTTTGTAGATATAAGTGAACTAGTGAATCTAAATGGCTTTTATTGACAGAACATAACAATGAAGCCGTGCTCCAGTGTCTTAATGTAGCTTTTACTGTACACAGAGTTAATGGAATAGGCTACAAGTTCAAATTAGTTCACTGAATTATCTCTATAAAGTATTGAAGATAGTAAAAGCTCTATGGGAATCACACCAGCCACTGACCTACATTAGCAGAAAAGAGTGTATTCCTTGCTTGACTGCCACACTGTGAGTGAAAAGCAGTGTCACCTGAATCTTGCTGAGTTTGTAGTGTGTCTGATGAGGAGAGAGGGCAGATCAGATCACCTGAAACTCTACCTCTGTGCCCTCTATGTGCTTCAGTCTCTCACCACACTGCACAATGACTCACTTCTCCAAGACTAATCTCCAGAGAATGACCAGGGACAATCACGGAACGCCATTATACCACTGCGCGGCCATCATCCAAACACCCAGTATCAACTAACCTCTGTGTCATTGAGAAAGGACTTACAGGAATATGATGTAATGCCAAATGCTATTGTTTCTGTTACACTTTCACAGGTTAATCCCATGCTTTTTTGGCAGATGTGGGTTAAGTGTTCTGTGAAAAGGTAGTTTTCCGTAATGGGCAAGTTACACAGTCTTTTCTCTGAACAAAGGGTCGGCCAAGGTCTCATAACATTCAACTACACCCATTGCACAGCTGCTTATCTTGTATAACCATTAGCAATAAATGGCACAAATATTTATGCCTTTTATAGAAATCTATTTACAGAAAAGGACATTTACATCAAGAATTGCATTAAGTCGGACCACTGGTTGTCAGGCAGAAGAAATTATTATTATGTGTGAATGTTTAAGTAACAACATACTTCACAAAAGATTTAATTTAAGCATTTAGTTGTCTAATTAAGTAAATGTTTCGCAAGTCAGTTTTTGCAAGAGAGGGTTTGAGACAGAGTTTATAGTATTGTTAATAATAGCTTTAGTATAAACTTTTTTTTTTTTTTTTTTTTTTTACAAACTTTTGGCCATTCAAGACATGTTTTGAATTGCTTTCACAATAAGTTTAACAAAAAAGGAACAAGAGCAAACTTCTGATAGGAAGCAATGAACCATAATGTACTGCAATTTATAGGGAAGCACTGATCCAGCTTTTTATGTTCGATACCGATGTTGATTCAAGTATCTGCCGTTATCCGACATCGACCTATACCAGGGTAGAGACAGGAAACATAAATAAAACACAAATGGTGTATGGCAAACAAATTATCCAAATGTGTTTTGTTATTGTGTTATTTATCATATGAAGTAATTACCGGACAGCTTTGAAGTTCAATATTACAAAGTGTTTAGGGCACATATTTTCAAATCATCGTTTTACACCAATTTACAGACCAAAATGGGATATCGACTGGGCCAGTATCTTGGCACCAATATCTAATACACTAAAATTTTCAATATCGGCACTGATATCTGATACCAGTCATAAGGGTGTGCAAAAATACTGAAATATTGATATATCGTATTGTTTAATATGATGATACAGTATCGATATCGTGGGCTGCTGTATCGATATATATCGCCAAGAGTATTTTTTTGTATATTTTACTAAATTATTTTGTTACAGAGCTACAGTTTTGTTGCTTGTTTAGTGAAAAGAAACTTGTTTATGTGACACATCTGACATATTCACTGTTTTGATGATTAAAATGGGTGTGTTTCATATTCACTTTGCACAAGAAGTGGTTTAACAAAGACTTTTAGACTCACAGCAGTGATATGGCCTTCAGTTTTTATTGAACTGTATCGAATCAATTTGAAATATATCGTATCGAATCAAAAATGCACTCTATCGAGATATGTATCATATCGGCAAATTCTTAATGATACCCAGCCCTAAGCAGTAATGTATTAATGCATCACTACAATGTTTGACCCCCAAGTTTAAACGTCCTAGTAGCTGCAGATTGAGAAGATTTAAACTGTAGACCTGCTCATAATCATAATGTTGATCAAAGAGATAAGAGCAGTGTGCTGTGTTCTCTCTCTCTAAATATAGTCTGTGCTGCTGGATTACTCTCTCCCCTCTGTGTGACACTTCCTCCTGTTTGGACCTGACTCAAGCCTGGTTTATTAGTCATCAGTGTTTGTGCATACATACGACTGTGGGTGTCTGCGGTGTGAGCACAAGCACGTAACACGAAGGTCTCCCACTAAGGAAACTCAAATAAACAGCAAACAATAGTCATAACATCCCAACAGTATCTTAGATGTTTTAAAATACCGATTATGCTCAAGTGCTATTATAGCAAGATAGATATATGGAACATTTCAGAAAAAGCAATAGCATCCTAATGGAGTCAAGCAGATCAGAGAAAAGTTACTTAGTGCACTTTAACCACAAAAACACATTAAAATCTCCTTATCCCTTTGTTCAGAAGAGTACACTGCAAGTTTCTGTTTTTTTTTTTTTTTTCATATTACAATTTTGACAATACCAAGAATCTCAAGTACTGACCTCCAAGCTGAAACTAAAATAGACCTAACACAAGCGTTCATGCAGTTTAAATATCGAAAGATGTTTGAAATAATGGGTGAAGAGAAAACACCACTTAGGCAGCACGACATGACTTGCACTTTCCCACCCCTCCACATCACTGTACTCAGGGCGCTTAAGAGTACAAGGGTGAGCGAGGGGCGAGGGAGGGTGCAGCAGACACACACATGGAGTGAGAGAGAGAGAAAGAGAAAGAGAGAGAGTGCAAACATTTCAGCTGCAGAAACGACTGTGGGAAAACTA